GTAAAAATTGACATAAGATACAATACAGCAGGTCCTAAGTGGAAGTAAAAAGAAAACTACACTTACATATAGAAGACAAGTATAATGAATAATCTAATAAAATTACTTATTAAAAATTCTTCTAAGATTTTTTGATACTAAAAAAATCTAGATTTTTTCCAAATGGAACAATCATGTACCCTGTTACACCAAGAAGAAATTTTTAGTGTTATTTTTAATGGATTCTTTAACTGTAGGGTGGAATGCAACTCTCTGTGCCCAAACTGATGGTTTCAAAACTCTCTGTGCCTAAAATTAGTAATAATCTTATTTCTTTAGGTACTTTAGCATAAGAGTGTTATGAGAAAAACAAAACTCACATACTTTGACAAATGCCATTTAGGCACTTGAGACAGGCAGACAAGGCAAATCAGAATTACAGAAAAAAACATCTGCTCATAGATTTTAGTAAAATGCAGTTTTAGTAAAGACTGACTCAGCTAACAACTACCTCTGAGCAGACCAGCAAGGAAAACTACATGTTCACTGATTCCAAGTCTGAGTCATATCTCAGACTCCCATACAATCCAAACATCTCGCCTGATTCAATGTGTGTCATTTGCTAGTTCAAAGAGAAAATCAAGGCCTCCCACCCTGACTTGAGTCCAAGTCTATTTGACAGCTCCAGCCACAGTGGTGGGACTTAGTAGACAATAATAAATAATTAACAACTACATTAGAATTGAGGCTTAATATCAACTTTCGTAATGAAAAGAAAATACCTTCACACCAGCTATTTCAATCATAAACATGGCTGCTCCCAGGACGTGGCCTGCGTGGTAACACCAGAATTTGATTCCTGCCACCTCTTTCACTTCATGGAAGTTGATGGTCTCAATCTTGTCCATGCTCTCTTCGAGGTCTGTTTCTGTGTACAGCATGTCATCCGCTGATATGTTACTGGACAGAAGTGAAGGGGCTGAATATCAGCTCATCCTAACAGCTGGAAAAAACACTTCCTGGATCTTTCCCCACTGACAGTAAGACTTCCATTCCAATAACCACATCTCCTATGTTAGAAATCAAGTCCAGGTACTCTGATGTAGCTCACCTAAGGAGAGTTAAAGCTGCTTTCTTTTGAAAGGCCACACTAGGATAGCCTTCTCAGTTCAGAATCTGCTCTGCGTTTCTCTAAAAGTACCAAGAGATCCCCAGTCGTGACCACAGATCTGCCATTTAGCTTGTAACAGTCCTGAAAAACCAAACTGATCCACACTTTTCCCATCAGCCCAGAGCAAACAAGTTAAAAAAGGACTGTTTATCAGGTTTCTCACTCGGGCTCGAATCTGCTGAGTTGAGACATGCCCCAAACCACTGCAGTCACAAAGAAATGATGTGTCAAGACATGTAACACAAGGGAAAAAGAGTTAAAAAAAAAAAGGGAAGAGAAAAATTCCCAACATGTAAGTGACACTTTTTCATATTTAATCTGCCCTTGTCCTGAAGAGTTACTTGTATCTTTAGAGGCTTAAAATTAACTACTTCTGTGAATCTTAAGAAAAAACATATATTAAAAAGCATGAGAACAAAAGTGTGTCTTAAGAGAGATGGGGGGAAGAAAAGGATACCATTAAAGGTGCAAATAAGGCAAATGAAAAGAATAAGAGGAAAGAAGGGAATATTTTTTTTTTAATTGATAGGAAATTACTTGAGAGACACATGAGGCAATAATATGATTCATTACTTCTAACCTGGTTATATATAATGTTGCTACTTGTGACAACATCTACATTCATCCAGCCACCTTTGGTGGCTTCATCTTAAATTTCCTATTGGATATATAGGCAAAATAATCCAGGAATTGAAGAGACAACCCACAGTTTATCTTACCTGACTTTAACATAGTCTGAAAGAAGCCATCTGTAAATAGCTTTTGTGGCATGAGTCATAAACGTCCTTCCTTTAAAACTTGTTTTCTGCAAAAACCATGGTAAAGCCCCACAGTGATCTAAATGGAAACTTAAAATAGACACACACATCCAATTAATACATTCATATCACATAGCACTAATATATATCATATATAATTAACTACTTCACTGAATTAACGTGGTGTCATGAAAATCCAGAAACAGAATTTTCAACCTTGCTGCTAACTGTGCTGGTCTATATTCTGCACAATAGTGACTAGAAACACAACTAAGAAAAGGGGAGAATAATACAGGAAATTCTCCATTAATTGCCAAAGTTTTACCTGCATAATATCAGAATTAACTTTTTCTTCTAATTGACATATAAATTTAGAGGGAGAAAAATAAGAGGAACCAGCAACACAATCAACATCAAAGATATAGCTGACAAATATGATCCTAATTTTCCATGTTGCACGCTAAAAACATGATCTACTAAAATTAAATTATTTGTTCACAATTCTAGTTTGACATATCTTAGCAAAGTACTTTTGAAATACAGAAAGAACAAGCACATACCACAAAAACTCAGGATTTTACAGAGACCTGTTTATGACTGGTAAAATCTCCTCGTCTCTCAGCCACTAGGCAATACTTAAACCACATTCAAGGCTCGTGTAAGTCTCCAAGAAACTTTTTCATTCAAAGCCAATAGAGCAAAACCACATCCAATGCTTTTCAGCAGCCTTTGTGTAGAAAACTCACTCTAGAAGCCGTCACAATGATGTTAAAGCAGGTCAGGTTATTAAAAAGAGTCAAAAATCCGAGCAAACTCAGAAGAGAGTTGTAATGTCAAAATGAATGAACATCCTCAACGTTCAGTCCTTAATCCTAAGTGAAGATCCTTCAGACTTTTTTTAAAATAAGCTGGAAACTAACATTTTGCAATACCATCTATAACACCTATTTTCAGCCTCTCTTAATAACCCAGAAGTGAGCACAGCTCAGACCATGACCTCAGTTATTTGGTTCTCTAGGTGCAACTTACTGACTAATGAGGAGCAGATCAATCTCAGCAGGATCTATCAAATCAATGTAAGGAAGAGCATCCATTCCTTCCAGCCCAGGATGGATTCCACAATCAAGCTGAAAAATGAAAGTAAGTTATAGCTTCTAACAGAATGTATAAAAAGCCCTCTTCCATTTTGGTCTAAGATATATTTATTAGGGACTGGTAACTTTTAGCATCATGCAAAAAAGAGTGTTTTTTTAATTAAACACTGCTTTTAGCATTGAATTTCATACAGAATGGTTTGGCTTGTGAGGGACCTCAAAGATCATCTCGTTCCAACCCCCCTGCCATGGACAGGGATACCTTCCACCAGACCAGGTTGCTCCATCCAACCTGGCCTTCAACACTTCCAGGGATGGTACATCCACAGCTTTTCTGGACAACCTGTTCCCATGCCTCACCACCCTCATAGGGAAGAACTTCTTCCCAACATCGAGTCTAAATCTCTCCTCTTTTACATTAAAACCACCTCCCTTATCCTGTCACTACACGCCCTTGTAATAAGTCTCTCCCCAGCTTTTTGCAGGCTCCTCTAAGGTCTCCCCAGAGCCCTCCCTTTTCCAGGAGAACAGTCCCAACTCCCAGCATCCCCCCCAAAGGAGAGGCGCTCCAGCCCTCTGACCATCTTCATGGCCTCCTCTGGACTGGCTCAGCAGGTCCACATCATCACGCTGGGCTTCTGTCTAAATGACTTCTCTCCACTGGGAAACTTTGTTCACAATTTTGTACCCATGCAAGCCTTCATCCACACTTCAACAGCATCTGACTACACGGAACTTATTTCAGCCACCAGCTGAGAACATCACTGGAAATGGCGAAGAGAAACACCTATGTGTTTATATGTGAGTGTTTACTCATAACTGTTGGTAAACATTATGTTCCACTAATCCCTGGAATGTGAAAATTTTAGAATCTCACTTCAGACACATACGTTCTGTTTGGGGATATGGATTTATTTTACAGGACAGCCTCTGTGATCCGATTTCAGTGTGGAGAATTAAACCTGTAACATCTTTTTGTGATCTGAAGTACCGTAATGAGAGGTCATACAAATACATTTGTGCAATAATTACCATTATTTTTCTTCCTTTAAACTCCAGAATAATGCATGACCTTCCTACTTCTTGGCCAGCACCTCTGCAAAAGGATATCAAAGTCAATGAGGAATAAAACAACTCACAGCACATATATGTAACTTGCACACCGGATGCCTTCACTGGGGTTACTTTTTCTGTTTAGAAATAACAACCGCACAGTCCTTTTAAGCTCAGATATTTAAAGTAACTGAAGTTACATTTATCTTAGTCATATTCTGGATATGAGACCCTATGTTATATTTATGGGTATGAGACCCTATGCAACGCAGCAGAAATAAAAAGAATCTGTTTGAGGAAATTATTTTGGTCTCTTCGGGGTTTTTACCGCACGTCTGAGCACTCGGGTCTCAAACTACTGACACGTACAACACATGGAAAGCTTATCTGAATAACAAACCACCTCGGGCTGAATAAGCCTGAAGTAGCATCTTAGCTGTTCGGAAGACAACAGAAACACCCTCAGACTGCAGTGGCATTTTACCGGGGAAAGAAAAGCAACTTCCAACGCTACTGCATCCCCAGACCCCCCGGCCCCCGGTCCCCCCCGGCCCCCCGTTCCCAGGCGCGGGTCCCGGCGCTCACAGGGGCCGGATGAGCAGCTGGTCGCTCTCCTCGGCCGGGATCAGCGCCTCGGCTTTGCGCTTGGCCGACATGGTGCCGATCCCCGCCCGCCTTCCGCTTCCCGCTTCCCCGCCCGCGCCTGCGCCCGCCCCGCGCGACCCGGAACGGGATCGGGAGCGGGCGGCGAGCGGGGCCCGGCGCTCCCGGGGAGCAGCGGCGTCGGGACGGGGGCTGAGGGAGCGGGGTGAGCGCTCCGTCAGTATCGGGGTATCGCCAGGAACAGAGGGTGAAGCGGGGGGAACAGCAGGGGCGGGATGCGATGCTGCCCTGCCCGGATGCTCCGGGCTGCTTCCTGCACCCGCGGTGGCGAAGATGCTCCGCGGGAGACGCGTGTGCTCAGCCAGGAGCTGCTGAGAGATCCCTCATCGCCTGATGCCTTAACATCGCTTGTGAAGAAGGGCATGTTAAGCTTTTGTGCCTTTGAGTTGTGTCTTTCGCGGAGAGCGCAGGCAGAGTCGGCAGATGTGCTTTTGTGGCGGCAGCAGCTGCTGTGAAGGAGGGGCTGCCAGATCCTCGCTGGAGGCTGGAGCAGCCCGGGGGGATGCGGGCGTGCCGGGTACCGCGGGGAACTGCGCGCCACTTGTTGCTGAGAGCGGCTTTTAGTCTGCCAGGGACGAAATGTTCGCTTAAAGAGGGACACAGGAGCGGTCTGGGGACTGTAATCCATCACTGAACCCACATCTGAGCTCCCTCTTGTGCGTCTTTCATTATTTTCCGCAGTGTGAGCTGTCTTCCTTTGTCCTCTTCCGCCTGCTCAAAGTTTTTGAAATTTTGTAATTAAAATATTCGTCCCTGAAGCTGAGAAATAGGGTTTCAGCAGTCCCTGACTGGGAGCCCCCATCCTGCTGCTTGACCCTGGCCGGCCAAATGTTAAGTGGAGCAGTTGAAGTAGTAGAGCAGATACAGGGAAAATGCTTCAGGAATGCTCACAGAACGCCCAGCAACTCATTTCGAAGGCAGTAAATGTAATATGCATTTTGCTTTAATTTTCAGGAATATGTTAAGTAGTAATGGCAGCTCCTACAAGTTTTCCAATCAGTAGTTTTTCGGAAATAGATTTGGGTTGGGGTTTTCTTAGGAGCTTTCTGGAGAGGGTTGTTTTTTGTTTCGTTGGTTTTGGAGGGATTTTTGTTTCTTTGTTTTAGATGAAAGCAGTCATTGGAGCAGGGATTGCATTGGATACACTTTGTAGGGCACTTAGATGGTAGTCACAAAATCATCTAATGCATTTAGGTGGGAATATAAATTTTAAATTTTGTCTTGTTTCTCAAACTAAATCTATATATGCATTAGAAACTGACCTTTGCAACAGTCTTTAAACTAGGTAGTAGCATTTTCTTGATGATTGAGAAGGTTAGGGAAGTTTTAGCAGAGAGCTTGAGGAACTTTCTCCAGCCACACATGAAGAGCACCAGAGGAACATTCCTACACCCGTTCCAAGAGTCCTTTACAAGTGTTCATTTTTTGTCCCTTTGGACACAGTCACTGGTGTTTGCCAGGAACTCCTTCTCTAGATGATATGACAAGTTTTAATTTTTATTTTTCCTACCTAGAAGATCTGCCTTGATCCAATTATGAAAAGATGTTTAGAAAAGGAAAAAAGCGACACAGCAGCAGCAGCTCACAAAGCAGTGAAATCAGCACCAAAAGCAAGGTAAGCTGAATGTGCTGTATTCTCTCTTTGTGAAGCACCTTTGTTTGTTACAAGTTGACAGTTCAATGGTTCACTTGCACAGATGGCAGGATGTGATTTCCATAAAATGCCAGGTTCCACAAGGAGAACTTTCTACTTCTGGTCCTCAGATTGTGTTATGAGAGTTAAAAATACCTATCCATTATAAAGCCCGTATATTCTGAGATGAACGCTCAGTTGCTTCCATGGTGAAACACACAAGCACAAGATTATCTGGCAGCATATAGTAAGGTTTGGAGGAAAAATTTCTTCTTAAATCTTGTCTTTAAAGAAGGTGCATGGTGCTAGGTACCAAGAATGAGTTTATTCTTCAATACTAGTTGGTTTCTTAGTAACTGTAAAAAGGATTCATTTTGAATAATGTGTCTATTTTGTCTGGTAGGTTTTGCAATGATCAGTAGAATAGTCTGGATTTTCCAAGGTGCTGTTTTACTTCCCTTGCACTGCTATGTTATTTCAAACATTGTAACAAACATGTAATTGTTAATTTCTTGAAGTTAAGATGCAGTACCAGAAAACTGTGGACATAACCTTAAGGTTCATTTTCTCTTTTTCTCTTTTCCTCCTCCTTTCAAAATATCTGTGGACTTTTTAAGGGTTCCTGCTGAATTTATATCAGTCTAATCTGCATTGAGGCAGAAAGGTAACTTCAGGAAAGAAACAGGTGGTATTGTTTTTTCCTCCCCATTTTACAGTGCTTCTGAAGTAATTAGAGCATAAACACAAGTTTATTTAAAAAAAAAGAGTTTAGGAAGGACATCTAGAAGTGAATTGCTAATACATTCTCAGTAACTTTCTAATGATGATGGTTATTTTTCTTAGTCTGTAGATTCCAGTCTCGGGGGACTTTCCAGGTCTAGTACTGTGGCCAGTCTAGATACAGACTCCACAAAAAGTTCAGGTATGTTATCAGAGCTTGAGCAGATATGGATGGAGCAGGATTAACTTTATGTGCATTTGTATAAAACAGCAGAAAATGGAAAAGGTGAAAAATAGGTATTTTCAGTAATAGTAAGTGAATGTGTTAGACAGCCTGGTGACTAATGCATGCGTAGCCCTAGGCCTCTAAAATATTATTAATGATTCATCTAGGATTAAGTCACTGTTTTTGAAATAAAGTATCTGAGCGAGAAAAACTTAATTGTGTTACTGGTCTATTACCAGCATAAATCGGGTATAGCTTTTTGGATGGTGTTCCCTGCCTTTCCAAGTTTACATTTGCACTGAGATAATGGAAATAAGATTTGGTTTTACTTATTCTTGCTCACCAGATCACAGTGTATCACTGTTGGGCCACACAGTTAATTTAAAACAAATAGATACAGAAAAATAGAACCATCTTTTCAGTCTTTTCTGATTCAAGGTTGTTAACTCCAAATTTGAATTGGTATAAACAATGATGTATCTTGGATTCATATGAAACTGCTGCTTTTACCAGGGGCTGTTCTGAATCAGCCTAAGGCAGTTTATTAAAGAGGGGTGATAAGTGTTTGATGAAAGTCTGTAAAATTAGGGAGTATAATAAGATAGCCCTGTTAACACCACTGAGAGCAGCATTATGATTCTGGAAGTCTTCAGAATATCTTTGTTTTATTTTGTTGCAGGACAAAGCAATAGTAATTCTGATACATGTGCAGAATTCAGAGTTAAATATGTTGGTGCCATTGAAAAATTGAAATATACTGAGAGCAAAAGTCTTGAGGGGCCATTGGACTTGATAAATTACATAGATGTTGCACAGGTAAGTGAGTTACAAAAGACAGTACAAATGACGTCAGAACATCTTAAGCTTAGGTGTGTTCCTTTCATATTATCACATAATCTGTCTTTCTTTGTAAATTTTAGACTTACTTGAATAAAGTAGCACGTTTTAAAAAAAGCATTAAGCTACGAATCTCAAAAGCCATCATACTCAGTTCTGTCGTGTTGAGTAACTGGAAAGATGCACCCAAAAAACCCATGAGTCCTTACTGAAAAGTATCCCAGCTGAAAGTTGTTACATTGCCTCCAGCACTGTGAGAATTAGTATCTGGGAAAGAATATCTCCTCCAGATTTCCTCAGAACTGTATAAGTTTTCCCACAGAGGAAAACGTCAAGTTTCTGCTTAGAATCACTCAAAAACCTGTGACCAAAGAACCTGAATAATATTTGGGTCATCCTTGCCAAACTGTGGTTGCTTGCACTTACTTTTTGTGCAAAAAGCCATAACTGGTTGTTCTCATTAGGTAGCTGATTTGTTTGTGTCTTCATCATACAGCAACTTGACATTTCAAGAATCTGAATACATGCTAAAACTGTTTTTACAGCCAAGTAATGAAAGTGCTGCCAGTGTGGAACATGGATCACCTCGGGTCACTGCAGCATGACAGACTATGCATGATTTTTCAGCCGGTCTGATTTGACCACAGGGCCAAACTCTCCCCTGAGATGATAAATTACTTTCTTGAAGCATGTAATATTTAGAGTAGAACAGAACAGAACAGAATAGAGTGTTTCAGTTGGAAGGGACCCACAGTGATCATCAGCCCAACTGCCCGACCACTTCAGGGCTGACCAACAGTTAAACAAATTGTTAAGGGCATTGTCCAAATGCCTCTTAAACACTGACAGGCTTGGGGCATCAGCCACCTCTCTAGGTGGCCTGTTCCAGTGTTTGGTCACCCTCTCAATAAAGAAATGCTTCATAATGTTCAGTCTCCCCTGAATATATTTCACGTGCTGTTAAGAGACCGAATGAGGCCGTGAGTGGCAGGCAGACCCCACACAGCAGAATCTGAGCAGGGTTTGTGGTGTTGCTGTCTCAGTGGACCCAAGTACACATAAACACATTTTCTGTTATGTATCTTCATTGTTCATGTTCTTCTGTCTGCACTAAAGGCTTTTGTTTGTTTCCCTCCAAAGCAAGATGGAAAGTTACCTTTTGTTCCAGGTGAAGAGGAGTTTATTATGGGAGTTTCCAAATACGGCATTAAAGTTTCAACATCTGATCAGTATGTAAGTGCTTCACACAAACTTGTCTTTCTGATGAGAGTTGAAAAGTGCTTTCATTTATTTCTCTGATGGATGATCTGCGTGGTTAAAATGTCATTTCTGGCTTTAAGTAAAAGTCAGACAAACAAGCTCTCACGGCAGCACTGCTTCATGTCATATCTCCACAGGGCTCTGTGTTTTCCTGGTTGGATTTATGACAAAAAGCCATTCCTTTTGAGATAGAGCACCAGAAGAAAGGCAAGCAAGCCTATACACACTTTGGGTACATCTTCCTTTTCCTGTGGCTTTCTTGCCATTCTGTAATGGGGAAAAGTCGTGTGACCGTGGTGGCCAAGACCAGTGGTTCCTCAGCCTGCAGTTCCTGTTGGTGTTACTGTGGAGATGGGTTTTTTTAATTGAATTGCCCACCTTTTCAAAGTTCCAGCCTTGCATTCCTGATCCAAGAGTGTGAGTTCACTCCAGCATTAAAGCCTGATGATTCCACTTTATTGATCAAGCCTACTTTTTGTTTGCATCATTTTCTACTTCTAGTGCACTTCAAGTAGCTTTTTTGCTAAAAATAAAAATCCGGTCTCTTCCCCAGGGCCCTCCAGTTGCTGTTGTGTAGCTTTGTATTGCAGCCATGTGGTTTCCTTCTGGTTGCCCTCAGAGCCCCAGATACCATAAATACTTGGCCTTATGAAGTCATGACCCATCAACAACCCAGCAGTGCCTGTTCATAAAAGCCTTGAGTATGAGGACAGAGAATTGCATTGCTCAATAGCTGAATGCTCTGAAGGGAGCCAAAAAGTTTACTCTGGTCCCTTCAGAAAAAAGCACTTGTTTCTAATGCCTGAGAGGAAGGGTAGTAGTTGTTACTCAGACTTTGAATTTTTTTGTGTTGCTGTCCTTCTAAAATCTCAATTCTCATTAAAACATAGGTTACACTATTGCTTAAATTCCTTTGTGCTTTGATAAAGATCAAGTAGGTAATTTTAAGACTGTCATCCATCATTTTTCTGTCTTCATGCTGAAAGCATGGACATGCTGATAAAGCCTGTGGTTAAGCTAGCTTGCACTGGAGTTTTACTGCATTGCATTCTGTGTCCCAAATTCTGGCTTTTTGCATCTGTGTCACTGTTGACATTTAATTTGTCCTTTACTGTGTTAGTTCACCAAACTCTTTATTCTTAGAGTTCCAAAATACTGAAAGGAGGGGAGGAAATTATATTACAAGGAGACTGTGTACTTTAAATAATTTCATCCTCCCTCTCCTGGTGATAATCCACATGCATGTTAGCACTGTAGCAAGTTCCAGGGAAGTAACTCTTGAAAGCTACTAGTAATTTGGTGAACAATCTTGGCATCTTTCATACAGAGACTAGAGGGTTGATCCAGTAAGTTCCACGTGGGCTCCAGCTGCCCTGGGAGTGGTGTGATAGTTGGTGATGGTGTGAGCAGTTGTGAGCAACTGCCGAGTGAGCATCAGGGAGGGAGATGTTTTTCAGCAAGGTGACCTTGAAGAGCTCTGGTAGAGGGCTCTCCCTGGAAGGTTTCGTGGCAGGCAGCAGCTCACTATCCATTTTTACAGCTTCTGTATCAAGGACCCTTCAGCTACTGACAGGGCCAAGGTGTCCAATGCCTTGAACGTGGAAACAGAGCTGTCTTGAATTCCTAAGGCCCTGGAGATGGTATGACTGGAATAAACCAGATGAGTATGATCGGAGGGTAGGATGGCTGGAGAAGAAAGGCTTGGTGTAGGGTAGGTCTGCAGAGACCTTGTACTGGATGACTTAAACCAACCCCTTTTTGGAAGGGCCGAAATAAGAAGTGTTGGGACTATAGTGAAACCCTGCAGCTGTGGTGGAGAGTGGAATTGTCCCAGACAAGGTCTGTGGAACAATCAGGACATACCCTGTGGCTCAGGCCACAAACAGCCTGGCTACAGCCACATGGCTACTACCTCCCAAAGCAACTGACCTTGTCTATACCCTCTTCTGGGAAAAGTTTCTTGGGTGTACGGAACTGAGACAAGGGATTGTCTGGAAAAATACTGGAAAAGTAAGAAGTTGTTTTAATTTACATCTGTGCCAGAGGTAGTGTCCCCCCTGTCCCAGAGGGCAAATGAGGGTAGGTGGGAAGTGAATGTGTGCTTTCATAGTATGGACAGGAATGCAGTCATAGAATCATAGGATGGTTTGGGTTGGGAGGGGTCTTTAAGATCATGTAGTTCCAACTCCCTGCTATGGGCAGGGACACCTCTCACTAAACCAAGCTGCCATCCAACCTGACTTTGAACACTCCAGGGATAGGGTATCCACGACTTCTCTCAGCAACCTGTGCCAGTTCAATCTAAACCTACACTCTTTCAGCTTAAAGCCATTCCCTTTTGTCCTGTCACTCCATGCCCCGTAAAAAGTCCCTCTCCAGCTTTCTTGTAGCTCTTTTGGGTACTGGAAGGTGCTTTAAGGTCTTCCCAAGAGCCTTCTCTTCTCTAGGCTGAACAACTGAAACTCTCTTAGCTTGTCTTCACAGTCCACATAGGAATGCAATTCTAAAATAGAAGCAAAAATATAAGCTAAAGTTGTGTTAAGCTGCCACCTTTTAAAATCTTTAAACTCTCAATTTAAAAAAAAAAAAAATTACTAAGGAATATTTTTCTCCTGTAAGTAAATCTGAAGTATTCTTTTGTAAGGAAGATAAAAAGAGGTGGAGAACTGAAATAGCTGTTGCACTGTTCCAGAGTAACTTTTATTTGCTACGTGGTTTCAGGACGTGTTACACAGGCATGCTCTCTATCTAATTGTACGGATGGTCTGCTATGATGATGGTCTGGGAGCAGGAAAAAGTTTACTGGCTTTGAAGACAACAGATGCAGCCTCTGAAGAATGTAGCCTCTGGGTATATCAGTGCAATAGTCTGGTAAGAGTTTATGCTTACAGTTTTTAATTTTGATCGTAAAGGGAGATTCTAAAACGTAAGGCCTTTGTGAAGGCTTTTGGCAGAAGGAGGATTGCTCAATTGAAAAAAAAAGAGTATAAATGCACTGGCTGAGGAGGGAGAACAGCCCTGCATTTGATCAGCTTTGAGGAAAACACCTACATTCCCTAAAATTGCCAGTGAATGTACACACCCGAGAAAGCTCTTTTCAGTCTAAATTTGCAATCTAAAGAGTGCTATGGTAGCTGCTGAGGACAATCCTCCACTGGTATTTTCAAAGAGAAATATCTCTTAAGATGGGACAGAGCAGGGAGGGATCAAGCAATAATTTTGGTAGTAGAGCATGCAGTCATATTTGTAAGCAAGGGAGGTGATCCCTTCTTAAGAGCAGGAGAACCCATTGTCAGGATGCTCCAATGACACAGACCCTTAGCTGGTAGCACTGGGGGAACACAAGAAGTGATGTTCTGAACGCTGGTGCCGTACTCTGATGACAGCCAAAAACTTTGTTTCAAAGGAGCTCGTTTAAAGCAGCTTCCCCGTGTCAGTGCAGGCCACAGAAATGCAATCAGGTCTCACTTGTGCTACTCCATTTTGCATGTCTGCCAAAAGAAGGGTAAAGGTCACATTCTGCTTTAAATGAGTTCTGAGAAGTTCTTCAGAAAACATTAACACGTGTGTTTGGGTGTTTTAGGAACAAGCACAAGCCATTTGCAAAGTGTTATCTACAGCCTTCGATTCAGTTTTAATGTCGGAGAAGTCCTGATTTTCTTGGGCAGCACGTGAGTGTGTAGTACAAGAGGCCTTTGTGATACCACAGACTGGCTGCAGCCACACAATCCTAAGACAGACTTGCTGTGCAAAGAGCCACACAACCTAGCACATGGTACTCTGTCATTCCTCAAACATGACTTGAAGAAATTATTCCATCTTCAGGTTTCAGGACAAGAATTTTATATTTAACATGATTTTTTTTTTCCTAAACCATGTTTTGTATATTAATGTCAATATTGTAGAAATGTAAAATAAAACTGACACTTCTGCCTCCTTGTCCGAGAAACAATTTATTAATACAGGCTTGGGTTCTGCTTAACCCAGATATTAGAACAAAACAAAAGCAAAGTGTAAAAGGGAGTCATCTGGTGCTTTACACCTTTAATCATAGGTGAGCCATCTACACAGTTTCTATGTTCAGCTAAAGTCCACAAGATGTACTTTTTTTTCCTCATGTGCTAGTTATTAGTATTTATCATTTTTACACATTAAAAAGAACAGTATTGCCTAAGCAATGCAAAGGAACAGAAGAGAAGCAGACAAAGATTTTAAAAGTAGTTTTATTTTTCCAGACATTTGACTGGTTGACAAGAGTAAAATTTATTAATCATGCTCTAATTATAAATCACTGCATCCAGGACATTGAAAATAAGAGTTGATTTTAGGTTATACAATATATACAGTTGCTCTGCAACTAAACAAAATAAAAACAACAGAATTGAATATTATACATCTCGTAGCATTCTAAGCTGCATTTTAAGTGTCACTTGCTCCTTTTTAAACAGTTAACACAGCAACCTAATAGTCTGTCTATTAACAGTTTTTTTGAGTCATTATTTTAATCAGATTTGAAAAGTTGTATGAAATATGCCAAAATTTTGGACTTAAAATTCTTGATTTTATATTATAAATAGATATCTACAGGCTCTAGAATTTCTTTTTCTCTGCCAGAGGAGAAAACTTTGAGAAACATGGGAAATCAAGGGATAAATTTTGCTTAGCTGCTCTTTATTGGTCCTCAGGATTTTATCTGTCTGCACTGGTAGTGCTATTAAGTTGTAGTCTAAAAGTCTCCTAGTTTCTAAGTGACCAGTTGTGACATTTTCGTGTATTCCTCTTCTAGCAGAACTCAAGGAAAATTTGCATAATTTTTTAACTTTACGAATTGTTACATACACTATAAGATTCTGTGTTAAAAATACTGTACATTAGGAGATCTGTGCAAAATAATATGCCCATTTACTCTCTAGACTCTATCAGGGATAGAAACATACAAAATAGTGTCGCAAACTGAACATATCAGTAAGTGAATAAAACTGTAGTGCTAAACTATTACTCTATCATTTTACTGGGAACTTTGAAAATACGGACTAATTTGCTTTGACTTGCAATAAAAATATCTTGAAACATTCCAGTTTGTTCCCCATTTATACTGCAGCAACAGCATCTAGGAAGTGAAAGTTAAACATCTACGTGGCTGTACCCACGCGCCTGAGAGGCATCAAGCCACGGTACCATTCAGGAAAGGTGGCACAAGGTGAGATCAGTGTTGCTCTTCCAGCACCTTTGCAATGTGATTTTTCTCCAAATAAGCATATATGGTGGTGGTGGCCTGTTTTCCATTGCATATGAAGGGGCCAATTTAAGCACCATTTGCCAGAAATTCAAAGTTCTCTTGATAAATCTAGAGATACAATATTCACGAAACGTGATCAAAGCCAATGTGACCTAGACATTGATTTTTTGTATCCTATGCCTCAGTTTCCTGTAGCATAAGCAAAACCTGGTACAATTTCACAATATACAAACATCAAAATGACGTCAGATTTGCATTGGTGTTTTATATTCCATCAACCAACTGGGAACTATCCATGGCCTAGCCTTTGTTCACGAATCAGTAAAACAAATTTAACAACAGTGTAGCTACCATATATGTGGGTATACTATATAAATACAGAGTGAGTTGCAAACTATCATTGTTTGCAAGGTAGTGGCACACAAATTTTATAAACCAGAACATAACGTAGTGTACTTGTGAGGTGTCAGATACCTCATTGACCAAGGATAATTACCTAATTGTTCCACCAAATCTGTTCTCCCTGTGAACACATTGCTGGATGACTTAAGGAAAATTCAAGAATTTAAAAACAAAGTCTAAACGCTACAACGAGACAAGTGTAAGAAATGCTCTGCAATCCATCATCATAGTTAAGTACATATCAGGAAATGCAGTTTTCAAATCCTTGAGTTAATGTAGTAACTCATTAATATTGCCATAGTTTAGTTAACCAGCAGTAGTCACATTAAATGACCAAAATGGATGAAACATACATAAAGAACATTCAAAAAACAGGTTCTACACACGTGCAGCATAGAAAAACGAAACAGTCTCAAGCTCACAAAATTAGAACTAGAAAGTTCAACGACTAACAGATTTCAGATAACTTTAAGCAAATATCTACATCCATTCTGAAAGAAAGAAGTTTCTCCTGTGGTAAACTGAAATACTTTTTCACTTTTACCTGGCCAAAGACACACAATTAAAATAATTTCTTCTGCAACTGTTGACATCCTGGATTACAGCCAGTCTGGCAAGATGCTGAATGAGTCCAATTCAGAACTACACAGCAGCTTGCATGTTTTGATTCCAACACTTCAAATGGTGTTTGAAGAATTGGATAAATTCACTGCCCTGTTAGATGCACACACAATTTCTTTGACTGGGGAAGCAACACTGAACTGTAGTACTGTCATGTTACAAAAGGTAGAATAAAATTACAGTAATTGATTGATAAGAACATTCATAATGTGATATTCAGACACATGGACTTTGATTGTTAAAGCTTTTCAGTTCACCTTGAAAAATACAGGAAGAGTTGTTTTTTTTTTTTTAAAGTGTAAACTGCTTATGAGAAGTTTTCACATAGAAAAAAGTTTTAAAAGTCCCCAAATCAGAATGATGGCAATAAAAAAGTAAACTACAGTACCTAGAACTTGGGCAGTGCTCTGGCAAGGTGTCTGCAGATAGGTAGGTGAAATGAAATAGAACAAAACTTATTTCTGTGACTGCTGGAAATGAGAAATGTCTCCGCTTATCAGTAGCAATTTAGTCAACAATAAAGTGCACAAATGATACAGGGAAAGCTCCTTTCCGACTGGGATCTCCATCAATATGACCAATCTGAAAGAGTCCAGATATTTTTCAAGTTAAATCTCAAAATGATATTTCAGTATTATCAAAATAAGTATCAGTGAACTTCCTGCCTGTAAACACAACAAGCCTCTCCCTACGTCTTTTCTGTACTAGTGGTATTTTTGAGAATAGGAAAATTCAGTCCTCCACTGCTGCATCATTTCAGTGCAATCTGTAATGCCTGGCAGCTCATATTCAGCCTCTGTTAAGCTGCCCTTTTAATCACTGCGAGGTAAAGGGATGAATCAAACTTCAACAGTTTGGGGTTTCACATGAATCTATTTGTGTTTTTACAGCATTATTGTCAATCTAGATGCAATTTGAAGCTCTGTTCTTTGCTAGCTAACAGATATGGGCAAGTGTTTTCATGCACAATAATTTTCCAAGATTTTGCTTTAGCCGATGAGTCTCTGGAATGTAAACAGCTGAGATTGTTTCCCTTCTCAAATAGACTCAGTCTCATTCAGCTGAAGAATTAGGACAATACAAAGCTCTCTTCTGAGGCCTACCATACAGCATCTGTAATAGCAGCAGATTCTTAAATTGCTGACACCACTCCAAAAATTTTCTGGACCATGCAGACCATGTCCCCCATATATTGTGTACCCTATTAATTAGATTTTTTTTTTTTTTCTGAATGAGGAAAGCTAGAAGCTTGTCTGAAGTTTGACTTTTTTGAACTAAATTACTTTCTGCAATCAGGTTTCCATGAGATGAAGCGTTTCTTTCTATTTTGAAACCCAGCATGTGGTTTTCTGAAGTCACTGTCAACCTCTAGATTTCATTTCTTTCTTTCAAAGTGTGTTGACATAAAATGCAAAATACTCACCCACCACTCCTGATCTTCTTCACCATCAACTACAATAATATCTCCCTCTGAAAAAGTTAGCTCATCTGGGTTATCTGCTACACAGTTGTAAATTGCTTTTACTCTCTTGGGTTTAGTTTTTGACTGAAATGAAAAAAATAAATTTAAATAATACAGCAGAGAAGAGACATAGCAGACTTGGACTTGATTTAAAGTTTCACAACTGCTTCCAACCATTATTTTTCATAGCCTAGAGTTCAGCTACATCTTTTATGCTGAGTGCTCATGCTTCAGGCTGAATTTAGCAGCACCCAAAGCTTTTTGGAACCACTGTGCCAACAACATGAGCCAGGTTTCCCTTAGAAATCTTCCATTTTGGCTCACCCAAACCTGTCTTCAGAGCTCTACATCACTGTAGTGAGCACAGTTTTGTTCAGAAGATGGGGTGATCAGGACTGAGTTCTGGGCAGCAAGGGTAGCAGCAGCAGCATTATCAGGGGGAGGCCTCAGCCACCTGCCAATACATCCCTTCTTAATTTGCTAAACCCACTTCAGTAGTGTACAAACCCTCCAAAACATCCTCTGCCTCTCAGCAGTGCTCTGAAGACTGCCAGCCACAAGAGTCGTTTGGCAACTCTTTCAAAGGGAAAGTTTAGTAAGGAGTTGCAATTCCAGTGTGGCAGTGGGACTCCAAGCCTAGCTTGGTGTTCTGTGTTAAATGATACCAAAATTGTTTTGCTCTGGTTTCACGGAATCCACCATCCTAATCTCACACCTCTCCCAGTGTAACCCAGTTGGCTGTTGTGTTTGTTTTCAGCCTCCTCATCCTTTGTTGCAGACCAACAATAATGCTGCCCACAGTGTTTCCATGCAAAACAACCCGGCACAGGTGAAGAGACACAGGACCTGGAAGCAGGCTGTAAGCTTTCTACCACGAGCCTACCCTTTTCCCAGGCAGAAGGAGAAAAAATTGTTCCTTTCCACTCTAAGATGCCAGAGCAGAGCTGTAAGTGCCATTTAGGTCACAGATGGCTGTTAATACAGTGAGTGTTTGGGACAGGAACTCCAGATGGGATAAGGAGAAGATGGTTTCATCACCATCCTGGAGCCCCCCAGGGACTGGTCCCACACTCTAGTTAGGTCAGCCATGGAGCAGGAAGCTTGTAGAGCGAGAAGAGATTCCATTCACAATTCTCTACCAGCAAAATGCTCTGCTGTGGACAGTACTGCCCAACAGGCTCTTAATGTGCTACTTTGTTAGAGCTGAGCACCATGCAGAAAAAAAAATGGGGAATGTGGATGGGGAAGGAGGGAGGCAGAATGATGGTTATGCTGTTCTGTAAGTATCCATTTGTATTCTAAAGCCTGGCCTGCCCAGGGCAGGCACACCCTGAGGCTCTCTCACCCCTGTGAACTGTCAGTCTGGCACGGCAGCACAGCAATTTTGGAGACATTCCCTCTCAGACAAGCGACAGTCTGAGCCACAACCACCTTTTAAGTCAAAAGGAAAAAGCTTCACATCAGTACAAGGGTGATAAAATGGCAACTTCAAAGTGCAGTAACTACAGGTATTTCTTGTTCTTTAGAAGGCAAGGAAATGAAAACAGATCTCATTCCCAGAGGAATAAAATCTTTCAGGGAAGTTTCCCATGTATCTACAGTCTGATTTCAAAAATCTAAATAACATATTGGGGAAAAAAAGAAAAAAAAAAAAGATGAATCAAGAATTTCCATCTGTTAAACAGGTTACTGGGTAAATGCACTATATAGCAGATAAGCCACTGGCTACATGTGCATAAACAGCTAGACTCGTCTTTTCTTTACTCACGTTTCCACAACCATTTTTTAAATCTGGGCTGACCTCTGGATTTTCTGGCAGGGCAAAGACTTAGCAAAAAGTGCTGGAGTATAAGGCTAAATGGAGCAATTTAACCAAAGAACTTTAGCTAGGCTGATCTAGCTAAAGCTCTTTAGCTGAGGGGCCCTTGACTAAATCTCAGCTAAGATGCTTTAGCTAGATTGATTAAGCTAAAGCACCTTAACTAGCACACACTCCCTGAGCCAGGTTTTCCCTTACTTCTCTGTCCTGTGACAGAAGAAAGTCACCCAGGTGATTTTCTCAGTCACAAAATTCACCCCACTGAAGTTCTAGAGACATCTGGAAAGTCATATTTGTTCTTCATACTATGTAATTAATATTAAACAGTGAAGATGCTGACCCTAGAAACTAGTCAGAACAGCCCATTCACTCATAATTAAAGCATTTTGTCCCATAAAATAAAAAAAAATAAAAAGGAAAGAACAATACAGAAACTACAACAACTTCAATTTATACAGAAAATCAGGTAAGCAGCTGTTTCAGAACCAACAGATGTGTACACACTGCTCACACCTGAATCTCAGCACACGT